CTCTCTCTCTCTCTCTCTCTCTCTCTCTCTCTCTCTCTCTCTCGTGTTAGCTCTTAGTCTCATTGATTTGGCTACCTTAGGGCTGCGTTCCCCGCTCCTACGCGGTAGACAATCAAATGTGGCAGCGTGAGCGCAATTGGAGGTCCGGTAGTTCTTTTAGAAAGTGACCCCGTACCTTGCACCGAAAAAGAAGCAGCCCTTGTTTTTTCTTTCGATCTTTTTTCACTTCTTGTAGGCGAGGCACTTTTAGGGAAATTTCCGGATCCCACTTCTTCCCGCACAAGGTGGAGGCCGCCCTGTTAATCTGAGGGTGTGAAAACATTGTCGTGAGCACAATTGGAGGTCCGGTAGTTCTTTTGAAAGTGAAAAGATGTGAGGATGAGGACCCCGTACCTTGCACCTAAAAAGAAGCAGCCCTTGTTTTTTCTTTATCTTTTTTTGATTCGTGAAAGTACCTCACAAGGCATATGGGGTTCGTTTTGTCTTTGGGGCTCGTTCCACACCACTCGAAACTCGAGGGTTTCTTGCCCAACACCGTTCCACGGTGCCCTTCAGTTTCGCTAATCACTGGGGGGACGTCATTAGGTTTTTGGGATTAGCAAACGGGCAGGAAACTCTCAAGTGCGGCTCAAGTGCGGCTCAAGTGCAGCCCAGGCAACCCAGGTGATTTCTCAAGTGACCTCTCGGGCCACACTTGAGCTGCCCTTGAGAAGTGTGCAAGCCAGCCGCGCGAACACCCGTATTTGTTTTCTTTCCCCGTTTATTGTCCTTTTTCTAACGCCAGTGTCCTTGTTGAACCTCTCAGGAGCTGTTCCCGCTCATTTCAAGGGCGGACTCGAGGGTTGAGTGGAACGGTGCCAGCTTCAAGTATTTTTTAATGACATTTTTTACGGTGCACGGCGGCTCAAGTGCACACTCGAGTTTCGAGTGAAGTGCAATGGTGTGGAATGAGGCCCTTTTACGATCCGGGAGGGCCGCTTCCTACTTTTCGCGCTTCTTTTTGGTTCTTTTGAAAATTATGTAACGTGGGATCAGCCCCGAAGGTCAAGATGAATATGAATCGATCGGAGCAAAAGTCGCTGAAATAAAGACCTGAGTTCAAACTCCACAAGAAGCGGCGGACGAGTGAAGTCAAGATGAATATGAATATGAATACGGTCGGAGTAAAAGTCGCTGGCTTGCGATCCGAGTGTCGCGCCTTCTTCCCGTTGGCCGCACCCTGGTTGCAGCCATGTCCTGCGCGACGCGCGACGAGTCATTCGTCGAACTGTCGCACAGACGCAGCGGCGGCGCACGTGTGCGGCGGCGGAACTCCTCGTTCAACTAATCGCAATCGTCCGCCCCACTGCACTCCTCGTTCAACTCATCGCAATCGTCCGCCCCACTGCAATCCCGATTGCAATTCAAGTGTCTGTACCTGGTCCTGTTCCAGGCTACATTCGACAGGCGGTAACAGTGCATTGGTGGCGCGTCCATTGCGCGACAGTGGTTTGGTGGCGGCGGCGGTAGGAGCAGGAGGAGGGCGCGCGAGAAAGGAGAGCGATCGGAGCTGTTGGTCGGAGAGGTGCCACGTGGCAGCAGCAGCGCAGTGCGGCGCAGGGGCTGCGCCTTTTTTGTTGGAGTCGCGTAATAATTCGTCGGATCTCTCCGCACGTGATTGGCGGCCTGGCGCGGGGGCTGGTGTTGGCCGCCGAGCTGGAGTTAGAGGGGTATCTGTACAGGTGTTGGCATTGGGTTTAGGGTTGTCTGGTGAGGGGCTCGATCTGTCGTCGGCATCATCGGTGGCGGATCGTCGAGGGGTGGGGGCGGGGGATCATCGTTGGGTAGATTGGGACCACCATTCGTTCAAGCTGGCATCGATAACCGGCGCTCTGCAGCTGCCAGCGTGGCTAGCGCGGGTTGGGGTCTCAGCGCTGTTCAATTGTGCGCTCGCGCGGCGGAAGCCCGGGGGGGGGGAGGGGGAGGGGGAGTCGGGCGCGGCGGTTTCGCTGAGCACCAGCCGCGTCATCGCACCCTCCTCGTCTGACGGCTTCGCCTACGTGCGCTTGCCAGGTGGACCGAGAGCGGTTGGGGGATCGATCCCAGGGACTGCAAGAAGGAGATCACCGGCGGCGGCGATGGCGGGAGCTGCTGGACAAGGTGCGGAGAAGAAGGTATGTACGGATGGGCGGACGTGAATTTTTTTTTTTTCTTTTTTTCTTTTTCCCGAACTGGTATCTGGATTAGAACTTGGATTCTGTATTTCAACAAACAGTTCATTGGGTGTAGCATCTGAGCTAAGGCCCGTGGGTGGCTGTCGGTTTCTTCCTCTTTGAAAACGTGAAACCTGATGCAGGCAATTAGTCAAGGGCTTCCCCCCCCCCCC